TCTTCAGGGCAAATGTTTTTATTTTATTTGGCTTATAATTCCTTACTAAATGTAGTATTTCATCTTGATGTACTCCGTCTTTGATATGATTTAATCAAGTTCCTCGTCATTATAATTCGCTTCCGATAGTGAAGAAATGACACAGAGCTTATTGAAAATGAAAAAATTTCGATTGACAAATTAGTCGGTATTCTAGACACAGCAATTATAGACTTGAACAGCGGAACTTTGTAACTGAACAAGAAATTATGTCTGTTTAATAGAATTAAAGAGAAAGTATTATCAATGAAACGAAGCAACTTAAACAACTTACATTGAAAGAAATGTTTAATAAAGTAAACAAATAAATATTAAGTTTTTCTTTTTGTAAATTTTGATACCCTTTAGATCATAATTGTTCTTTATTTCATAAATTATGGTTTCATATTTTCAATTTTATAATTTCTGCATGCCAACTGATGATCTATAATCTGCAATCGCCAAAGTCCCGACGAGTCCTGATTAACGACTTTTCACTGTATAAAGGAATACAGGCAAAGAAGTAAAATTGTTAACAGGCCCTTTATAAGCATTTCAGTCCAATAACCAAATAGTTATGACACAAAGGATGCATTTGAATGATTTTTTACGTGGTAGAATTATCGGCCGTCTGGAATGTGGGCATACCCACATGTACCACATGGAATGTGGGAAGTATCAGACGAACTTGGAATTGCCCAGAGTGTCATCTCCAGGCTTTGGCAACGATTCCAAGATGATGGTAATGTGAGTAGACGTTACAGCACAGGTCGCCCCAGAGTTACAACGCCGAATGAGGACCGGTATTTGGCAGTTACTGCCAAAAGAAACAGGCGGAGCACAGCCTGAGACCTGTCTCATCAGCCACTGTTCAAGGCAGGTCGTGTACAGATGCTTAGGGTAGATTGGTCTATATGCTCGTAGACCTGTCAGATGCGTTCCACTTACTGCAACTCACTGTCGCCTGCGGTTAGCCTGGAGTAGTGAGCATGCACTGTGGACACCGCAACAGTGGGCTTGTGTGATGTTTTCCGACGAGTCCAGGTTTAGCTTCAGTCTGATTCTTACCGACTTTCAATGGAGAGCTCCAGGTACCGTACCACCACGAAAACATCATTCAATGACACTGTTACAATGGTGTAGGAGGGTTCGTTTAGGGTGGAACTATTGGGTTCCAGAACGACCTGCATGTCAAATTGGAACCATGACAAGCTAAATCTATCGGGATGTCATTCTGGAACAAATGTACATTTGTTTCTGGAACAACATGTACCATGGCGCATAATTGTGTTTATGGATGACAACCCAGTCCTCACCGTGCAAACATCGTAAGCGAATGCCTTCAATCGGAGGATATCACACGTATGGACTGGCCAGCATTCTCACCGGACTTGAATCCAGTACAGCACGTGTGGGATATGCTTGGCCGACGAGTTGCAGCCCGTCAACCTCCTCCTACATGTCTACCGGAACTTTGGAGCATTGCTTTTGAGTGGTGTTAATATCCCCCAAGATCAGATCGTTAATTTAATACTCAGCATGCCTAGGCTTGTATGGACTGTATTGACGTCTGGGAGACATACAATGTATTAAACAATCATACCAACCATGTAATATTGTTTTTTGTAAATAGGTTTTTTTTTGTAATTTGCTCCAGGGAGAAAAAAATCACTAATTTTTTTAATAATATCAAACATATATCATCTGTTTTTGCTCTTTACCTTTTGTTTAATAAATAAGCTTTACAAATAAGTCAAATTTGTTTTGCTTCTAATTCTTCCTTTGCCTGATTTTGCATTATCCTTAATTTATGGACATGAGTGTATTTAAATTATGATAAATAAAATACAGAAACACCTAAGGGGAAAAATAACAGATATTTGTAAAACTAGAAATTTTTAATGTAAATTAAACAACTTGCCAAAGAAAGCAGGGGGGAAAAATCTTTTTATGGTTTTTAGTGCCTTTTTTTCAGACTGAATAATTCCTCATTCCTGAGGAAATTGTATGGAAGATATTTCATCATTAGGCAAGTCCAAATTTTCAAATCCATGGTAAATATATGGGGGGGGGGAGAAAAGAAGAAGAAAAAGAAAGCTTTCATATTTTTTATTATGCCGAAAACAGAGTTTTTTTAACATTTTGTGTGTTACCTTTATTTATTAAATATCATGTTCTTTACACTTAAACTGTAAAATTCAATTCAACAGGAATATTGCAAAAAATAAATAAATAAATAAAATGAGCATATCTGTAGAATTTTCAATACACAGTCTTGTGCGCTGGATATAAAAACGTCCTCCCCCTCCGTACAGTGTTGCCATTACTCGCTTTCGTATTGTTGAGTTTCTTAATAAAAAATTCATTAAAAGTTTTACAAAATATGAAATAGATAATAAAACCAATTCCAAGTTCGGGCTTCCAGATGCCGATATTCTAGTGGAGGACAATTTATTGAAAATTTGATGTCTCTAGGTACCATTGTTTTTCGCAGTGTGAGAAACATACATACATTCATGCAGATTCTTCATTATTTAATTTCTTTAAATATAATTCAGGGATCTAATATTTGGTGGCAACATTTGCAAAGCGAACTGACATTTACAGTGAATCAATGCAAAATGTCAAAACGAAATTAATAGCCCTTCTGGGCTGATGCCCTTTGGGCTAAAAACACAAGTGGCCATTACATATTTGGAATTTGCATTTGTGTTGCCAATTTTGAAAGATATCATTTTACTTTTTAAAAAAAGTTACCATTGTAGCGACTTTAGAAGTAAACACTGGTTCTTCATATGAACAATATCTTGGCGAGTTTAGCAAAACAACAAACACTCCAATCCTGATAACAGAACAGTATCAGTTCTCATCTGCTCTTGATAGTCTGCATGAATAATAGTACTGAGATTTTTCTTTATGTCATTAGACATAACTTTATTAATTTCCTTACAGACAAAATACATTAATAGCCAGGGCAAAACTGACTAAACATTATGAAAGTTGAAGTATAGATTATTTCTTTGGGCTGAGCAAGGTTTAGAAATCAATGTATTGATCTGGATACTTGCTCCTTGTTCTAGTCAATGTGTAAAAATTCTGATCTTTATTTATTTATCATTTTATGATCACCTGTTTCATTTCTTGGTGCATGTGGCTGGAATGCAAACATGCAATCCACATCCTATGCAGTTTCTCAGTTTTACAACTATGCTTCAGTTTTGAAGTGAGCATATACAAAAAGGGGTGGGGTTATCTAAGCAAATATAAAATCAAATGATCTACTAATTCACTGTTCTCATCTATTAACAGTTTTTAAAAAATGATTTCTAGCAACTAAAATTTTCTATCAAAATATATATTAGGCAAATGCATGTAACTTGTACCTTTCCTAGTACTTTCAGGTTAGCTTTATCCTGAATTTAGACAATATTTCACATATGCCCCAGAATATCACCAATACTGTGAACTGCTTTCAGATAGTAGATTTTTCAGATAGCAGATAGTTTCAGATTTTGTTTGAGGTGATATTGGTGCATTTTGTCCACAATACTTCCGTCACTGATGTTTGAAACCCTTTACACTAATTATATATATGAATTATCTTTAGGGCTTTAAAACCAAATGTATATTTAAACATTCCGAGTGTTTCAGTCATCATGTTGTTGACTCTGAATAGACAATTTTACTTCAACCAGTTTCACAAGGTAAAATGCAGAACAAGATAAATAATACATTAAGTTATTCAAAATAAGCAAATGCACCGATCCAGGATTTGGAAAGAAAAGTCCAGAGAAGCAATAAGACTTTTAGCATTTATCAAGTGAATTCTTACAATTTTTTTGAGATGGCCGTTGGTATCGTCACATGTGTGATTTCTCAGTTATATCAAAAATATCCAACCCATACTTAATTCTATGCACTGAAAACATAATTATCACCTATGTCCAACAAGGTCTTGGTCTATGACGTCTAATTTAAGAATCACTTAAAATTTTGTTACAAATACATAATTAAATCTTACATTTCTAGTTATTAAAACATAATGCATAATTAAATATAATATTTCTAGTTATTAATACATAACTGCTAACAGTGCTTATTTAATGATAATGAAAAATTATATGTCTGTTAAAAATCATATAGCGTTTTTACTTATAAAAAAAATTGAGAAAATAATAATAATTTTCTTTCTCCCTCAAAAAATGTAGAAAATGAGCACTGAAATAAGTCTGTAAGAATGTTGTACCAGAGTACACAGACTATCTTAACAGGGCTTTAAATGCAATGTTCATTTTATTGAAGTTCAGAACAGGAAACATTGATGACAGTAAATAATAATTAATATGGTTCTGCAATGATAAAGTATTTTTAAAGCACGTAATTATGTGTTACAACACAATGTGCACACTACATTTTAATCATGCCTCTTTCAAGTCAAAGCACAGCGAAAGCATTTTATATAAGAAAATCCTAGTACATGTTTTACTTCAGAATTTCCTTAAACACAGAATAAAGTAATACAATATGTATTTCACTTATTTCCCTAGTTAAAACTCAGTGTCAATTCTGGCTCTGTTTAAGCAATGGAGGCTGAATGAAGTATCTACTTTTGTCTGGAATTACTTTTATAATAAAACAACTCTTAAAAAAAATCTATGCTAAAAAAAAAAAAAAAAAAAAAAAAAAAAAAACTAGAGTTTAAAAATATAATCTCATTTCTTTAATTCAAGTAGCTTAATTAATAAGCTATTTGTATTAAAAGAATTGGGTTACATTTTTAAATAATGCATGAGAAAAACTAGATTTTAGCTGACTAATCAGACCAAAGCACTTAAAAGAAGCTAAATACAAAATTATATTACAAATCAATGCAAAAAGTACAATAAGTAATAAAGGGTAAAAATTTATATTTATATTTTTGAAGAACATGAAATATATAAAATATCAACTAAAATGTCTTATATTATAAGAGAAATATTTACCTCTAATTCACCTTTAGCAATTGTTTCTTCTTCAAACTGAAATTGTAAATCTTCAAGTTTCCTAAAATAAAATAATCCATAATTGCTTTTAACATGTTTGCTATAAATTATCTCTAGTTTTATCAATATACTTTCAACACATACATACTATGAAAAACTCCTAATGTTATATTGGTTATGAAAAACAAAGTGCAAAGATTTCTGAATGAATCATTAGGTGAATGTTATGAATAATATCTATTACTGATACTACTAGAATCAAATGAAGCAATTACAGTCAAAAGTCGTTAATCCGGACTCGTCGGGACTTCGGCGATTCCGGATTATCGATTTTTCCGGATTATAGATCATCTGTTTAAATCGTGTAAGATGGCATGCAGAAATTCTAAAATTAAAAATATGAAACCGTAATTTATGAAATAAAGAACAATTATGATCTAAAGGGTATCAAAATTTACAAAAAAAAAAAAAAAAAAAGCTTAATATTTATTTGTTTACTTTATTAAACATTTCTTTCAATGTAAGTTGTTTCGTTTTATGTGATAATACTTTCTCTTTAATTCTATAAATACACATAATTTTTTGTTCACTTACAAAGTTCCGCTGTTCAAGTCCCGTTAATTGCTGTGCCGAGAATGCCGACTAACTTGTCAATCGAAATTTTTTCGTTTTCACTAACCTCTCTGTCACATTCTTCATGTCTTTATCCATTTTTTGCAGAAATTCCACTTTTTGTTTGATGGACATCGAAACATACTTTTGTTTTGTACGATCCTTTGGGAGCTCCAGAAACAAAAATTCTATTTGACATAATTGAAAGTTCAAGTTTACTTTTTTAGTATTGCACTTACAGTCTGCAAAAAATAATAAGACGGATCCAATTCGAAAATTAAGGAACAACGCAATCATCAACATTAACTGAAATAGATAATTAGATAATTTTAGCTTACACCGTCCGTTATACATAAAATGCGCACGTGAAAACGTATTCCGCGCTTGCGCACACGCAAATGCGCAGTCGTAAGAGGTCTTACGCGCACGCGTAAACGCCTATGCGCATGTGTCAATGCGGAGCATGCGCAGAAAGTTTTTAGCTTTGAGGTCCGGATTATAGATCATTCCGAATTATGGGTGTCCGAATTAACGACTTTTGACTGTATTAAGAAAAAACAATCCAGGTTATGAATATTGCAATGAGATTATACTTAAACCTTAAAAAAAAAAGCTAAATTTACTCCAATTTGTTTTTATTGATTCTATCAAAAAAGACTATTAATTGAATGGTTTGGACAACTGAATTATATTAACTAAATGGTTGAATATTTTTGCACCTCACCAACCTATATACACAGGAGGTAATGCTTTCAGTCCAAAAATTCAGCAGAAAGGTTTCAAAAAATAAGCATGAATTAGGGTCTTCATGCCAAATTTTTATTCTTTTTAGAATGTCTGTTGTTTGATAGGGCAATTAAAATTACAGTTGGACGATTCTTCCGCCATCCATTTGCTTCACTTTTAGGCATCTTCTAGCATTTAGTTCTTCTTCTATAATTTTACCACAACCCAGCCTTTCTAGTTTATTATTGCAAACCATTTTGATGTGTTAAATATTAAATCAAAGTTTCTAGAAATGGCTTTTAAAGAGCTAGTAACCTCCCTAACCATATCATACACTAGGATTTAATCTAATCCTATTTTGTACACTCATGCATATTTGAAAATATTTCATTATTCACTCAGTATACTGTAATATTTTCAAATATGCATGAGTGGACAAAATTATTCTAAAAGTTGTTATTTTGTCCAGAACAGATTTCGCCATTTACCGTATCTGTGCATTTTGTATATCACTGGAAGCAATACTTTTGAAAGCAAATATTAATTCTGCATACAATCAATCATCTTGACAATCAAATGTGTCAAAAAGTTTTTAGGGCATCTCTTTTCTCGGAGTTTCTGAGCACCTCCTTTGATTTTTCATTTATCCATTCTACTTACCTAGAAAGTAGTGTAAAAAAATTCAGCTGCAATATTTTTTTGTCATCCACTTACACTATTAAGTGACACAATAAAATTTGCTATAGAATTTTCTTAATTACAGTTATAATATTCTCAGTTTTACAATTAAATTAGAATGTGACTGTAATGTATTTTCATAAATGTACTTTACTGCACACTGTCGACTACAGGCTATACTCTACCTCTACCTTACAGCCTACACCTACCATATATCTCATACAAGTTTGAGCGTGATATGTGGTCTGTAAATCCACGTCTCTCTCACATACATAGATCTCTCATTGAGTCATCTGTGTCAATTCGATCGTTTGGGTTTCTTGATCGGCCTGAAATTTCTCTGGCCCACTGGGCATCTGCCTGATTGCCCGCCGGACTTATCCACCACTGGGCAGGAGCCATATTTACTACTAAAAGAAACACTAGATTAAATGCATTTCACTCAAATGTGATTTACTAAAGCCTTCAATGTTCACTTGAAAATCATTCCTTCAAATGGCTACAGAAAGAGAAAACATCTAACTCCTAATTTATTCAGGTCAGGAATACATTCATATACAGTACAAAGTCCGAGATCCGGATGTCCAATATCTGAACCTCAAAGTCACCAACATTTTTTTTAAAGACTTTTAGTATGCTTTGTGCATGTGCATTTGATTTTTTCCCTGTAATAAAATACGTGAAGCGTCTCAATTCTTAATTTCAGTTAGGCACTAAATAAAATACCTTGCTATTCACAAAACAATAATTTTAGCATAAATTTGTGTGATAAATTTGGTTTCGTAGCTGCGTAACTGCTTGGCATACATGTCAAACCGAAACATTCTACATAGAAACATAGCTGATTTTACACTCCTAATATTTTATATCCCTGATGTCAACCTGGAGAACCATTATTTATTATATTTTGCTTTCATCACCACATGATAACTTGAATAATGACTCATGCAACGATGCCTAAATAATTTTTTTTATCTGAGTAACTGAATAACAAAGAGTATGGTAATCTTTTATGCTGGCATTACACTTTGCATTGACATTACTATTGACTTTATGTTCCATAGTTTTCCTCATGCAAATTTAGTTCAGAGACTGATTGGTGATTAACTAACATAGTTGCCGCTGACTGGCCGATGATGTAGTATCCGCAGGTTGACTGATGTTGTATATATACTCGGTGTTCGTAAACGTGAAGGAGTACACTGTTTTTTTTCTTTTCTTGTTTTTAAAGGTACAAGCTACTGTTAAAGCCTAGCTTATTTTATTTAAATTCATGAAGTAAAGATTAGTTTTATTTTATATTAGTCCCAACATTTATTTAAAGCAAAGTATGCTTTTGCAACTGCTCCAACACCAACAATTACACATTACAGATTTAAGTTGAATGCGCTAAGAAATGTTGACGAGGAAAAACTTAACAAAAATTTCTTTCCATATGCTAAAAACAGATTTAATGATATCCATAGACCAAACAATTAAATTTAGTGCTACTTGAATTAAGAATAACTGATTTTTTATTTACATAAACCCACAACTGGTGTCAGAGCTCATATGGCCCACTGGGCAGCAGAATTTATTAAAAACCAAAATTTTTGGAATTAAGAGAATCATCGAGCAGTAAAATTAAGGGAAGACCAGCTTATTAATTTTTGCAGGCAGTTATTATTACAGTTCAAGTTTATGAAAATTAAAATTTGAACTTTCGATTATATCAAAAAGAGTTCCTAATTCTGGAGCTGCAAAAGGATATTCAATGCGAAAGCATATTTCAATGTCCAGCCAACAAAAATGGAATTCCTGCAAAAAATGGATAAAAATATATCCACCTAAAAATTATGGGAGGAGTATGGCATTGGAAAGTGAACTGTATACGACATAACAGTAATAGGAATTTTTTGTGATTCCAACACCCCACTCGCACAAGTGTAAACTCTTTGTAATTGGAAAAAATACACGAGCTTGAGCATTTAAAGGAGTAAAGAATTTTGCCCTTATATATCATGAAAATAAAACAGCATGGATGAAATAAGTGTTCATGAATGATTGGTTTGAAAATCATTTCATACCAGAGGCTCAACAACATTTGAATTCAATTTGTTTACCTGATGATGCAAAAATTGTCTTGATTGTAAACACCGGGTTGGCTCATACTTCATTTAAAGTTTTAGTGAAAGATAATGTATCTGTTACTCTTCTTTCCTTTAACTTGTACGTCCACCATTCAGCCTATGGATATTGTAATAGTGCGGGCGTTGAAATGCAAATATAAAGTAGCATTTTTTAAACCCATGTTAAATTTCTTGAATAATGGCAAGACTGTTCAAGAAATGTTTACTAAAGAATTTAAAAAAATATTTTAGCTTAAGATCTGTGTGGAGCATCACCGAATTTTCAGAGGATGTGTCTTTAAAAAATGCTTGGCATAGTGTATGGCCAGCTTATATATTGCATGGTGAGGATGGGGAAGATGATGGTCACAAATTTTGATGTATTCAGATACTGTGAACCAAAGGTGAAATTTTCCAATTAATGGATTTTGTAAAAAATGTGAAGAAGTGATTTTAAATGAAGATGATATAAAAGAAGTTTTTTCATTACATTCACAATGCCCTAATCATCAATCAATTAAGGGACAGCGAAATCTGCAGTACAGTTCTAGATCCAGAAAATACCGCTACCAATAGTGAAGAAAGTGACAAAGAAGTTATTGAAAATGAAAAAATTTCATTTTATAAGTTAGACAGAATTCTCAACACAGCAATTACAGGACTTGAACAAAATGGAACTTTGTAACAGAACAAGAAATTATGTCTGTCTCTAGAAATGGTTGGAAACACAAGGGAAAGTATTAGCACAAAAAATGCAGCAATTTCAAAAATTTACATTCAAAGAAATGTTTACTAAAGTAAACAAATAAATATTACCCTTTTTTTGTAAATTTTGATACTCTTTAGATCATAAATATTTCATTATTTCATAAATCCCGATTTCATATTTTTAAATTTTTATTTTCTACATGCCATTTTACTAGATTTAAACTGATGA